ACGGATTTTGACAAAGAGACACTATCCGTTCAAGTATTTTATGTCCAAAATGAAATAATACACTGCTGGGTATCTCATTACTTATACATCTTACTTCTATGCAGCAGGCCAAGCTGACGTATTTATCAGTCGCTGTCCAACGTGGCATGGGACAGTCTTAACATAGCCTCCAAGCGTAATCGAAGAGTATTACCGTTTGCAAAAGTTAGTTAAACAACATTTACCGCGTGAAACTGATTATACACGTGCCAATGTATCTTGATGTTCTGTGTTTCGTAAAAACAAAATTAAATAAACTCTTATATTCCTAATCAATATATTCTTATATATAATCACCCGTTATATCTTCGTGCAAGGTTAAATTATTATTATACTTGTCGTACTTCGCCCGGTCGACATGGTCGACCGGGCTCGGCACGACTGCTCTAGTTGATAAACATATAAGATTAATAATAGTGTGTAACAGGAATATTGACCAGTCAAAATACCAAATCGAAGATTAACCTGGATTAAATTTAAAAATTAAATTTCCCTTCGATTCAACGATTGTTAAATCATTGTTGTTTGATAATCGTTGGTAAGGTCCTAATTATTTGGCGTCTGCTTTCTCTATTACAGGTTTCGTAATTGGTACTATATTTACAATGGTTATTGCTAAATAAATGAGGTATCCACTATATAGCAATCACTCGCTATATTATGCTATTACAAATAAGGAATCGTGTAGCAAGTTTACTATCTATCGGAAGATTTTTATTGATTAGATCTGAGATAACCAATATCTCTGGATATTCTTTAGTTAGCTATTTGGGAAATTATTACATTAGTTATCGATTAAATGCACGAAACACACTCTGAAAACATTAATCTTATTCACATTGTTTTACACATAAAATATTGAACACTTTACCTGATAAAGTCAAATGACTGAGCATCAACTGTTTGAATATAACTTTTGTCTATTCGTTTGTTATGGGCTCAACCAATCTGCTATATGTACGTATCCATGGCATAGCATAGCATAACAATGTTACCTCTTGCAAGTTTGGTGATAGAGAATACTCAATCCGTTGTAAATAAGCATTATCGTCATGCTTCACATTACCCCATGATTTCGTGGCAAACAATCCAAAGACTTGTTGTCTGCAGTACAATCGGGAGGTCTTGGTGATTGACACACCAAAATACAGTTCTAATCGCCCGTGTACAACGTAGGTGTAACTAATAAAGGAATAGGCCAGACGTAATCCAATCTCATCTCGTTCTTTATTAGATAATACTTCTGTTCATTTGTGCATTGTATAATCCCAAACGTTAGTGGTAAGAATATCTGGATGCTCATCACATTTATATGTTAAGTTAATGATTATCTCACAATCAATAAGCATAATGTGCTCACAACTAAATAATACTTGCCAGCCATAATACGTCTCATAATGTGTAGGCAAATATTTGTAGACAGCATTCGTCAATCTCGTCAATACAATAAATGAAATCCGTTCCAGATTGCTGAGTTGGTCAGTATTTGTGATTTTGCATCAAGTCAGTCCGTCTATCAGATAATTCTTTATGCACCACAAAAGACTGCATTTGGGTATTCCACATGTAGAGCAGAATATCCACGTCGAGAAGAATAATAATATAGAAGTGTTATGAGCAACCACGTAATAGTCATTTTTATGCTTTGGTACAGTCCCCGACGAAAAGAATTCAATTATGAATTATTTAATTGGTCAAAAGCTATAAGCATCAACAATATACGAAAATCGCTGTCTTTATTTGCTGATCACATCATATAAAGAACACGATAAAACTATAATTTCGACATATTGATTGCACTATTACTGTGCGATTAATGTGAAACAATGGCAGTTGTAACCTTATCGTAACACGATTAATTATAAACTCATCGCTATAAGTTAGGTAACAGTATACTATTACTGCTATTAGATACGCTTACTTGTATACCTCCCCATGCTTTAAATGCATGTCGTCGTCAACGGAATTGTCAATTTGGTGGAACAAATGCGTATATGAAGGTTATTTGTGGCGGGAGGCATTTATTTCATCGACAATCATTTCACCGACAGTACACTTCACCGACAGTCATTTCATGTGACACATTGTTTATCGTACTTATCATTGGTTTTCGATGAAATTTATGTCGGTGAAACGTACTGTCGGTGAAATGATTGTCGATGAAATAAACCGGACCCTTTGTGGCAACTGTTTCGAACGACAATAGGACAAATTTATTATAAAATTGCTTTACTGCTACTTTGTTTATTTGAACTTGCAAATAAGTACACCATCAAAAAATAAACGTTATAAACCACATAATAATAAGGTTGATTAAAACTAATTAAGATTAAAATTAAATTGTTTGCAACATGAAAAATGTTCCAATAAATTAGGAACTCAAGAATTTGTTAAGATTCTTGACAGCCTTATCCAACTTTTTCGTGTTACCATTCAATTTGCCGACGAGATTCTTGTAACGGTTATTCCACTTCTCGAGAAATTCTGGTACTTCTGTACCATCCTTCGCTGCGGCTTTTGGTAATTGCTCGTTAAACTCATTGATCTGGGAGACATAACCTTTGTGAATTTTCTTCAATTGTGCCACTTTGGCCGCATATAGGTCCTTAAAACGCACTCCGAGAGTGTGCGCATTTGGTCCAACAGGAGCTGCTTGAACCATGGCAACGATAAGCACCGAGAAGATGACCAAGATTACTGCAAGTTTCATGTTGCGTGTATGTATGTGTGCGTGTGATTGTAATGATTATAATAAAAATTCTTTACAGCAAGAGAGAGCACAGCTTTGATTGAGTAAATTCAGTGGAAACAAACTTGGCTTTTGCTAGGTAGAGTTTGTAGTTATTTATATCTTTTGAAAGCCTTAATGATGAATCTTACGATAAAGAAAAGCGCGCTGTGCATTTGTTTTCCACATGTTATCACGGGGTTTTCGGACGTCCGGATGGATATAAGTTTATTAACTCTGTTTCTGGATACTTAATTTAGATAATGAAAAAGTGGGAACAAAATGGACACAACATCATGTGTCCATTTTATTCCTCATCAAAAATACACATGCAAAAAAGAAAAAGATCGACGACATATGCACGTATTTAATTATGTCGATGTCAACTTCCACATCAGCTCTTTGTCAAGTGAAGGGACTGAAATATACAGTACTGCCAACAGCAGAGACTTATTCATGGGCATAACGATATTAATTAAAAAATTTTTTTTTTCGCTCTCAGCTAAAAATGTGTTTGATAGTAAGTTGTAGATCATCCACGCATTTAGTTAACGTATTCATTTCATATTTCATTTCCTAAAAATGGAAATGGGGAACAAAAATTGGGGAAAGAACCTGTATATGGATGTATGAGGATTTACCGTATTTTTGAAAAATGTAAAATAGACATGATAGACATGATATGCATGATATGCCGATCTCGGGACCGAAAAAAGAAAAAGCCCCCATCTGAACATCCAAGTTTCTACGATAGCGTGAAGAACGTCCATTTTTGAACATTGGCATTAAAGCACGCCATTTTAGATTAAAAGGTGTTACTAAATCATAATTAAAGAGCACATGCTCCCTTTTTTGTCTATATTAACAAATCTTTAAGGTAAGTGTTGACTTAAAAGATATGCATATATCGTCTTGCGCTTACGCCAATTCTACAAATGTGTTGTGTGCCTGCATGGAGATCATCCTTCTTTTTTGATATTGTAATCCGATCCGAGATCTACACATACTCCACTATCATTGGTGATTATCATTCAGATAGCTTTATTCATTTCCTGGCGATACTGTGTTAATTCGCAATAGCCAGCTCGGCTACTTGTTAAAGTCTTGCATTATAGTAATAATCCTTACACGTCAACTTCTGATGCAAAAAAGCAAAGTGCACAACAAAGCGAACATTTTGATTATACAGATATGCATAATATTCGGATCAAACTCATCTTGATTCAAATTTCTAGACTCCATTTTATGTTGCACTCGCCTCGCACCTTTTCCCCCATAATAAACTTTTCTCCACTTACGCTTATCAATAGACGCTTTATTCATAATATTCCTGCTAGTTCTATCGTAACACTTCCCAATAACTTTGAGCTTTTTTTTCTTCACGAAAGCGACAATAAATGTCTCAACAAATCCTCAAGATGTACACTGTTTTGAATCTGCTTTCCATAGTGATGATACACCAGGCTTTCACCAATCCTTCGCTCTTCCTATGTCTCCTATTGCTTTGGACTTAGCCAATATTCAAATGCAATCTTACCGGCGCCCTTCCGATGCTTTACGCGTACTTACGAAGAAAATTATGCTCAATTTCTCTGCGTTTTCTGTTTCTATTGTTCACGATTATTATATCCACACTCTGTAAAATGGGTAATTAGAATGACAACTTTATCTATTCTCTACAATCACCCTTCCCACAATTACAAATCCACGCAACCCATCAAAGATTGCCGTTTGCGATGGATACAAATCCAATTCTAATAATTGATCGTGCTATGCGCTCGCTGAAATACCTCGATATATTCATGATTTCATATGCAAAAAGAAAATATCTCTCCCGTCTATCTTTAGGTCGTTCTGCTGGTTGGTGCAAATCCCTTTGTTGAATATCGTTCACTCACTGGGCAAATGGAAGATTCTAGAAACAGAAAAACAGATTATTGGCGCTTTTCAGAATCATTTAGATCTATCCCTGCGCCCATCATTCACGTTTAATTATATCAACTCTCTCACTTATCTCCACAAGCTGCGTATTATTTCAGACAAAGGTTCCACACCTTCTGTATATTTTTCAAATATAGTTATGCCAGATTATTATTCAACCTCGAGTATTACGTCTACTCCTCTCAGCCACTCAAACATATTTATAACAATCGATAATCCTGACTTCAGATACGAAAGGCAAACTCGATTACTTTAACGCTGAACGGCTAAGCTTTTTATCACTTACTCATAAATCTACGATTAAAATGTTATTTATTTATTTTTTTGCTCGAGCGTTATAATACTTTTGTTTGTTACAAACTCCATAGTAATGAGGAATCGTCAGTAACAAATTGACAATTATACATTGCTTACGGGCGATCAATAAGACCGAAAGTTTGGATATCAGCTTAGCAGACGACATGTTGTATAGACGGTGAAGTCTTTTGTACAAAATACAGTAAAGTATTGATTATCACTTTTTCTCCCCCGAAATTTTGTATGCCTGAAATAATTGTAAACCTGCAAAGGCTGGCTATAATTGAGTTAGATTGGATCCGTAATTAGATTATTCATATAGGCAAAACGTATGAGCACTTATTACCTTGTTTACATTACAGCGAGAAAAGAATAAAATAACATTGTCGGATTTACCGCCGTTTAGCTTTAGAATAAAAAAACATTGTCGGGTTTACCGCCGTTCAGCTTTAGTAATAATATTATTACTAACATTTTTTAATTGCAAATTCGAAGCAGCGGCTAAAACAGTATTAATATCCAAATAACACAGGGCAAGTTGACATTTTTCAAACTCAACTTGATTATTTAAATTTTCAGTGGTAGCGTTCCCAATTTTATGAATTCCTCCGATTTATTAAGTCACGAGGTTTATATTGAACTGCCAAAAAATCCTTTGGTACTTCATCAGTAAAGTAACCATTTCTAGTTAAAGGCAGTCTAATATAAGAATGCATAAAAAATTTAATAATGTTTGCCAAAAGTTTGGGGCATAAAACTACATTTGCCGTAAGAATAAAGTTTGTTGTCTCCGTTCAATTTATAACACTGGAGGTGGGTATTGAAACCAACAAGATGCCAAACATGTGATTTAATCATCAAGTAAGCAATCCAGAATAATGGAATTACGAAAATGGGGAAATATCAATGTTATGCTGTATGTCATCATACACTACCTGGATAAAAGTATCGGACATCGTAACTTTATTAAATACTCTAATAACTGAAGCTAAACGTTTGTTATATTCTAACTTCTTACAAAACGCGGATATATTTTTTGCGCGTTATTTATATTGATTTGTTTTGTAAGCAATATAATAAACGGATTGGTATTTAATCTTTAATTTGTAAATGTTTAACTTAATTAACCAAAGCCGAACATGACCAAATTATCGGACTTTTTAAAAGTGGTGCTACAAGAATGAGCATATTAAAACTCTTGACTTTTCTAGAACAACAGTAATGCGAACAATACAAATTTTTTCGAAAGAAAATGTCTTGCACACAATGAATGGCTGCCCAAAACTTTTAAAATTTGATTATAAACAAATATTAAAAATGGGTGTTAACATTAAGCAAATCAGCTGAACAAATCAAAAGACTATTAATTAAAGAATGTTCCTACTAACACTAAACTATTAGGAGAACTTTACACAAACAAACCTTTTTTCTCGCATTTCGACATCTAAATCTTTACTTAATGATCGGCAAAGAGAAAATTGCCTAAATTGGTATATTGAAAGAATGGTTGGTCTATTTGAATGTGAAAGTCTGTCATTTGGAGTGATTAAAGTTGCTTTACAATATTCAAAAATGATAGTCCAAGGTCGGGTTTGGAGAACTCGCGAACGAGATTTGATATAAAAGATATGGCTACTTCAATCAAGCAGGGGTGGAGGTTTGATAATGTGGGATTATTTTTCCGGCAAAGGCTTAGGGCCCATTGGTAAAAGTGGAAGGGAAAATGGACAGATTCAAATATTTGAAATTCATTTATTAGTAGAGATTTTGTGGAAAGGGGTATTTTTTCAAGATGGCAATGCCTCCATTCATACAGCGAAAGATGTTAATGAATGGGTTGCAAAAAAACCAAAATTTTACCGGATTTGAACATTTACAGTATGGTCAGAACTGGAAAGATGTATTAGAAACCGTTCAAATTTAGGGAACTTGAGACGTCATTGCAGGAGGAATGAGTCAAATAATTTAACTAAAAGTATGCCTCGAAGAATCGAAGCGAGTAAATCTGGCTAACATGTATTAGTCCTATACATAGATTCACAAGAAGTTAGACTATAGCATATAAAATTTTTAGCCTCAATTATTATGTACATTTTGAGCAATTAATAAAGTTTGGGCATCTGATACTTTTGTCCAGGTAGTGTATCTCCAATGAAGCCGTCACTTCCAATTTCTCCATATTACACTTAATGCAAACATTGCACTATCTACATGTGAACAATTACAACCTACGAGTCATCATAAGTAAATGACAATTTTAATGACGCAGTGGCAGTAGCATATTTTTTTTTATCAACCCAGGTTTTTCAACAATATAATAAAAGTGATTGGGAAAAGCATGTTCAGAAACGCGTCGTATGAATAAAAGTTATCGACAATAGCTGCTGTTGCAATCGAGATGAGTAAGAAACACAATATTATGGAAAAAGAATTCGAATTTTGTTTTTTAGCACAATATGTTTAATCTCCAATTCAGAATCGGTGAGTGTTAAAGCAAAACGGATACATCTGACAAATTGGAGGAATAGACCGACCCAAGTACCAAACGCAGATTGAAGTTATCATTTAGATCAACATTTTATAGATCTTTCTTCCTCGCAATTCTGACATTAAACACACAAGACAACATTGCCTTTCTTGCTACAATTCTTTGTTTTAAAATTAATCTGTTGGCTGGGTGACACACAAACGTTCGATTACCATAAACAAGCGCCCTCGAATATATTAATAGTGTAACTAAGGGATTATTGTAATTACTCCGAAAGTAAGTACTCCATGTCAATTTTATCTATATATACCGTATACATAGAATGTGGCAAAACATACTAATACATGGAGTCGTGTCTAAATCAGGGGAGAAAAAAATTTAACATGGGTTGCCTATTTTCGGACCTGTACGTTACTCATTTCATGTATTCGTTATTAAAGTCGAATATTATTTGCTGCGCGACTAACGCATATATATTAATCTAGATACATATTTAGAAAATACGGTTTAATGTAGGATTAATAATATAAGACTGAAGTTCAACGTCATCATTCCACAGATAAAAAATAGTAACTTCTGAATGCTCATACAATTAGAAAGCTACAATGAAGTCGAGTCATGCTCGTACAGAGTTTATAGCTGAAATTAGTTGTAGACGCAACTCTTATCTAAGAATTGTATATATTTACCGTATTCTATTATATTGAAGAGTTGAGTGTGTTAATAGTACGTTAAATATTTACATTAAAAATACTACGATTCAGTAAAAATATAGAAAATGTCGTTCTTCTTAGTTTATACTCCTTTGATTAAAAATTATACCAGTAGTGTTGATATACTGTACGTACGTAGTTTCTCTCCTTGTTTGTGAGTAGCTAGCGGCAGGGTTATCGCTAAAAAAGTCGGGGGTGTTTTTTTAAAAAAATTTAATTTGTTCTGAAAAAGTGACCCAAAAATAGCATCATAAACGATAAGCGGCACTGTTTTGTAAAAGGATTAACAACCACCAAGGTAGCGAATACATATTTCAATAATAGGAAATACTGTATACGTGGCCTTATTGAAGCGGGCACGTTAGCAAGGTCGTGTTGGGCTAGGTTACGAATATTCCCAGTCACTGATTGAGCACAACGTTCTCAGGCGACTGCGCATAACGATGCATTTTACATGTTAACATTCTCCCGATTTTTATCCATTCATGTTAAGTTTATTCTTAACTCAACGGTATTTCATCTGTCCCCTTTTGTGATCCACTTATAAAGTCACGAAGTGCAAATTGAACTGTTGCTGTTGAAGTTGCCAAAAAGTCTCGTGGTACTTCATCAGTAAAGTAAGATACACTTCTAGTTAAAGACAATACCAATACAAAAACGCATGTTTTTACAAAATAAAAATTGATTGGCCATATTAACAAAATTAATGATGTTTGCAGAAATTTTGGGACATAAAACCAGCTTATGAAAAAACTAATAGCTATTTTATCGTTCATCTTATCAAGCTCACGAACTGTCAGAAAGAAGAAGAATATGGAAATGGGTATTGAAGCCAACAAGATTCCAAACAATATAATAAATATTACAGGAATTGAATCGCGATTATTTGCCATGTAAACAATCCAAAATACTGGAATTATGACGACAGGGAAAAGTATCAAAAAAACTATGATGCCTTTCCATATATACTTATCATCATGAACATCAATATAGCCAATTGTTCTACGTCTGATTAATGCAATCAGTGCACAAGTTATATGCAAACCCATGTTTGCAATTGAAAATAGGTTTATAGTCTGCAAATCATCATAGCAAATTGACACCGTCAATGGAATGGCCCAAATAATTGTATTGTACAATACATCGTCCAGTAGTGGCAACAGCTTATTTTTTATCGGCCCAGTTTTTCCTGAAACGTTTAGCAAAATAACAAACGTGATCGGGAAAAGTGTGTTGAGAAATGCGTCGTACAAATCTTGGTAAGATGAATAAGAGTTATCGACAATAGATGCCGCAGCAAGTGGGATGAGTGAGAAAAACACAATATTTTGGAAAAGAGAATTCGAAGCTCTCGTCCATGTCTGTTTAGCACAACAGCGTTTAATATCCATTTCGGAATCCGAGGCTGTTACGATAAATCGGGTCTGTATCTGACAAGTGGGATGGAAGAAAATCCGCGAATGAGGGATAATTGCAAGTTGCCGTAATCTGAAAATTTAAACCTATCGATGCTGCATACGTATTTATAGACTTCTTCTCTCACAACTCTGACCAATTATTTATTATTTATCAGATCTCTTTGCTTAACCTTTCTAGGCTGGTAGTTCATTTGAGTGGCAATTTCGTATAATCAATGTTAAACATACAACGTTATCTTCTGGAAAAGCGTACATTTGTTTAAACTAATCGGTTTAGGTGAAACAATACACAAATGTTGAAGAGCTTACCATTGTTCATCATTTTTAAAGACAAACGATATTGCTGCGCAAATTGAGTTTGTTTCGGAATTTGCATTCCGTATACGCCTTTATGTTGGAACAATCCATGACCAATTTGGAATTGCTCATTGTTGGTTTAAATATTGAAAACTATACCGACTTGACTACAATAGCCAGCCAGTATATGTTCTTGTATTGGGTTCAAATATTTCTTAAACCTGACCCTGACGAAATTTTTATGGTTTAGTCTTCTCACTTGCAAGAGCACAGTGTTTAACTTTGAAAGCTACTTAGAATTTATTAGCTCTGCAGATAATGTAACGACGAGGCTATATCGGGTAATACAATCGTGTATATCGTGATGATGATATATGTGTGTGTATGATTTACTATTTGTACTTCGATAATTATCAACCAATTATCGAATTACGTATACACGCCAGAGCTCATTTTTAAAATGCTTAACGCTAAGCAGGGATACAAAAGGCACAACAAATATGGAGGGTATGTAAAAACAATAAAGGATCTAATAAATGTTGAGGAAGAGGCGATTAATTGAGAGAAAATCGGTCACGGGGATTTCAGCATCAGCCGATTTCAGCATCAGCCGTCACATGTAATGATCCGATTGCCGTGTCTTGATGATTGTTGTACAATAGTTACACGAACCGAGACAGATTTAATTTCGGTTTCAGCATATTCTGTCGTTTAAGGATGGAGATTGATACACTTTCCATAATTCTTTTACTTCTTATTATTCTTTTTACAATTCTTTCTATAAAAGATGTCCCTAACCCTGATGTTCATCCACTGATTCTAACATCTCAAGCAGATGTCGCACGCATCAGACATCCTGGGGAGACTGCAATATACAGGTCAAATCTGGCATTGCACGGAATGGCCTTGCTATCTAACCCAGAGAAAGGTGTGAAGACAATCGCTGATCTGTTCAAAGCTGGCGCTTCACAGGGAGACAAGTTTCTTGGAGTTAGAGGCCCAGATAGTCTGTACACTTGGGTATGTTTTTAGCAGCTGAAATATCGATTTAAAGCTGATGTTACCGCTTGATATATTATCTTTAACCATATAACCACCGATCCACTAGCAAACTTATGGTAATATTAATATTAGGCAATTTGAATAATTGTTCAGCAGAAGGCTTTACCAGACAAGAATCTTATTGCGTATTAAATACAAATTATTGTCTAGATGAGATTACCAGAAGGCTCTCCAACTTTGGATCAGGATTGATTGAATTCACTGGTTTAACGCCAAAAACGCAGAATATGTTTGGTATTCTGATGAACAGTAGGCCAGGTATCCATGACTAAAAAATATATATCAGATTACTGGATGCGTTCCTTTTGATCATGTAGACTCTAATTTATCTTTATTATGTAGAATGGGTAATAGCTGATCTTGGTGAGTCTGTCAGACACTTTATTAGGCTGTTCTTATATTTACCATTGTATTCTTATAATACCAACTATATATAAATTTGCTACAAAGCATCTCACCATTATAGCCTTGTGATCGTGGCACTGCCAAGTATTCGGCCGCAATTATCCGACATAATAAATGAAATTAAGCAGACAGGAATCACTTCTGTCATTGCTTCAAAGGATACTTTGTCACTAGTTCTCTCTGCAGCTCCATCATGTGGCTCATTGAAATACATTGTAGTGGCCGAAACGGAGATTCCCTCTGATCAGAAATCAAAGATTGAAGCCTCGGGGCTTGTTCTAAAGACATTTGCCGAAGTTGAAGAATTAGGTGCACGGAAACTGCTTGACCATGTGTTACCAGGTACGACATATGATATTACCAGATGAATTATATACAATTTTATTAACATAATTCGTGTTGTAGAACCCGATGATACTGCAACGATTGTATATTCGAGTGGTATTACTTCCGGTGTATGTATGGACTAATGAGATTATATCATAATAATATTATTGCTCACATATATAATATGTTCATAGCATCCAAAAGGCATTGAACTGACACACAAGGCAAGTATATTTGAAAGCGTAAGCATTAATTTATCTGCATTGTTCCCAGTCTAACTTTATTATGATATAGAACATTGTAGCCAATGTTGGTACGTTGTTTATAACCGGATTTTTACTGCATCGCTTAAAATTGGTGAATAACTTCAACGCGGTTTGCAATCAGCCGGACTATCGGCCGCAATGTCAACGCTAAAGACAACATCAACAGACAGGCACCTGTCATATTTACCGCTTGGTAAAGTAGAATTGGCTATTCTTATGACTTATGGATATAAAGTATAATAATCACGACATAAGTTTATTTATATTTGAAAACAGCTCAAATTTTTGAAAGAATTGTTGTCATTACGATGATGTTCAAAGGTGCATCTATTGCATTTTACCGCGGAGATGTATCCAAAGTTCTTGACGATGCTCATGCAGCACAGCCAACTATATTCACCGTGTGAGTGTAGGTTGTTTGAACAGCTGTGTAAGATTCGTTTCGACTTATGAAAGACTTTTGCTTTACGATATAATCTGTTAGCACTCCTCGTTTCCTCACCAAATACCATGAACAAATTATGCAACAGTATGGGAATGACTATTTATTTAATAAGGGGATGAACGCTAAGAAGGCACAACTGAAGAAAGGAAGATTGCTCGTTGGTTCCATCTGGGATGTATTAGTATTCAACAAGATCAAAGTACTCTTCGGGGGCAAAGTTCGTGCTGCTGTATGCAGTGCTGGTACGTACATGAGATATCTCAATGTGACATAATGTTTAAGCATCTCGATCTCTATGTCCTAACAGGGTTTTCTTAACGTACATTAGGTCCAGTCTCTCAAACATTACTTGATTTCTTGAGAATAACTGCTGGATGTCAAGTCATCCAATTATATGGATTAACCCAATGCAGCGGCGCTGTAACGGCAAATGCAGTTTACGATTATCAAGCAGCCGATCCTTTAGGTCATGAGAGTCATGCAGGAGGCCCATTACCATGCAATGAAATCAAGTTAATAAACTATGAAGAGAAAGCATATACTGTCGAAGACCAGCCTAACCCACGTGGAGAAGTAGGTAACAATGATGAATAGTACTAAGATATTTTATTCACTACAACCCATTACTACGTTTATCTCTAGATTTGTGTTCGTGGTCCGAATGTCATGAAAAGTTACTACAAACAACGAGAAGTAACGGCACAAATAATTGACTCTGATGGTTGGCTGCATACTGGAGATATCGGCATGATCTTACCTAATGGGACGCTAAGGATCATTGATCGGAAGATGGTATGTGTTATGCATAATAGGTGACCACGCAAAATTGCTGCATTATGTCATTTATTGATATCACATTGTCGATTAGGAAACATAAGGAGTTCGACCTCAGACAAACAGCCCAGTCAATTGACGCACATTAAGGATAGTTAGTACTTTGCAATCTTTGAACGACAGACAATAAAACGCGTTAAAAGTAAACGCATGATGATTGAAATCGTCTATTTACAGATAATAAGATTATTCGACATTACTCATTAGCTATTCAATTTTTACGGCTATATCAATGTCAATATTATCATCATACTCTTCGTAGCTGCTATACTCATACTCATCACCGATATGCTTAGCGTCAACACGTCTATTTTCAAGGGCTTCTCGATGCCTCTGCCCTTTTGCAGATTGTTGATCAGCCGAAGGCTCATATTTCCACACTGTTTTTGACTTCTGAGGCTTTCTTCTTTCATTCTTTCCTGATCTCTGCTTAATTTTTGGTAATGGTTCCATATTTGTAACATTGTCTGATAAGTCTATCGTTTCTAAATCAGAAACCGTTTCCCCTGTATCAGCACCATCCAGACCGTATTCCAATTCTGGTATGATGGACCGTGACCATCGCTTTGTTGCAGGTTTCTTAGGGTTGTGAGGGAAGAGATCGCCCCATGCGACTTTTCTCGCATCCCTGTATGGTATTTTACCTTGTGATTTTGGAATAATCATTCTTTCGATGTGACCTTCACAACGATAGGGGAAGTAAAAACGAAGATGAGCTTACTGCAGTTCCATCTTGAAACAGAACAGCGTGACAATCGTGCTTTATTTCGACGGCTTCATCCACCAAATTTGATTATTCAGAGTGGACTGAGCCACGGTTTCATGACCTTTCTTTTGGTACATGTACAAAACGGCTTTTTGAATCTAATATTTTGTTTTATGCTCCACCGAATATGACAGTTAGTAGCTCTGAATACCCAAATTTGTCCGATTAACTGTCAGAATAATGTGTTCTTACCAGTCTTCGAGCAATAATCCATGACCACATGACCATGACGCTTCATTGGAGACGCGACTAATCTCGGCCATTCGTAAGATGCATCTATATAATCTACACAAACAGTATTACAGCAGAGTATTAAAATATCAACAAGCAGGAATAACTAAACGATTAGAAATTCCCGGCTTTTTTTTTTTTGCCTTTTGGTCGGTCACCTGGTTGTTGACTATCAAATAAGTTGACAGTTGGACGCGGTCCTTTCCTTAGTATGACATAAGAATACTTCGAATTTTCAAAATTGAGCCTAGAATTCTTGATCTTCATCTGTACAGAACCATTATATAAACGCCGATGAATTATATGGCAGAACGTACCATCTTGGATAACTTACCAGAAAAGTCGGTCGATTTATCTTTTGAGAGAAATGACACCAGTTTCTCGTATTCAATAAAGGGCATATGCCATCATGAGGACACTAAGAAATTAGAATTCAATCTGTTATCTCCTGACGCGTAGACAAAGCCGAACATAGTCATAATCACAAGACCATTACCGGTGCGACAACATGCGCCCCCACTACTGGTCCAACTGTTGTTCCTGCATCTGCGATAGTGTTTGATTCGGTTTTCTTATTCTCCATTTGCAAGATTTTTTGTCTTGCGTGAGCTATTGCCTGGAATCCGGCCGGAGTCCCTCTCTCTATAAGTACCTGTCAACCGTTAAGTCGATTACCTTAGAAATTCCGTTCATCGAATAGTAATTGCAATACAAAAAACTAACCAGAATATCTTGTGTAGACTTCCAAAGTGTCTCAAGCACAATATTTCTGACTTGCTCTGTTGGTATATCATTCAACGCGAATGCACTTATTACCATATCGTGCTTATGCTCCTGTAAAGTGAGTAACATAATTAGATGTTATTACTGAAAATAATAATTATTATTCTTTGTTTGCTTACGTTCGACTTATATGATAAATACTGAGTAAATTCAACGTTCTTTATGCCTTGATCACTGACTTGGTCTACAATTATAAACCGTTTTCGCCATGCAATTGCAATGGGTTAGGAAGACGTTAAAGTACCATAAAAGCTAGAAAAACTTTCTTGTTACAAACACGTTGAAAGTGTTTCCGCCATCTTAATCATTGCTTCTGATACATCTATTCCCATGTAATTTTCTACATTTCTTCCCCATACTTCATGCGATGCCCTATAAGAGAATCGATTTAATTAATACGCAAAACTGTTTAACCATAATCATTATGACACTCTTGCTAACCATATTGCAGTGCCGGGCCCGGTCGCGAAATCGAGAATATTCCGTGGTGTAAATGTAGGTATTCTTCTGCTTAACTCTGTAAGTACATTATATATTGGACCAAACGTTATAGGCAAAAGTCCAGCAATATATGCCATTGATTCTCGAACGCCATAAGAAAGAATATGAGGATGTATGGGAACGTCTGTTAAAGATTTCTTAAAGCCTTCATTTGACATTTTGCATTGCGGAAACATGGGCACTAGTGAAGAATCATACAATAAGATTTCGCATGCAGTAATATTACGAAAACAAGTATGCTTACCTTGAGAATCGTATTTCTGCAAAGATGATTCGGTGTATCCTGTCGTTGATCTCAACGAATCGTATATACGTGTTGTATCCTTCTGGAGCAGTTCGTTATCATAACCTGTATCAAACGTCAAAGTATTATCAACTCTTGAATGGGTCCTCATATTATTCAATTCTCATTAAACTATACCTGCTAGAATGTTTGAAACGGCTAAATTTAACCATTCTGGAAGCATAACCCAGCCTAACTTCTTTCTGCCAAACAACGCTTCGGGAGATTCTCTAATATTTTTCTCTTCTGTAATCGTATCCGCCAAGTCCAGCTTTGCTGACTGGTAGGACGATCGAGCTTCTTGGATATCCATCATCACCTGATGAATTGATTCCTGTCTGAAGAATGTACAAATAGATAATAATCAAATAAACAACAAAAATAACAAGTGATGGATACTCACTCGTATGGGGATAATACCGAGATATCACCATTTAATTTCCGTTCTACAACCGTTGAATAAACCGCTGGCTTACAAAGCTTCTGTACACCTCTGTTAACTTTTACAAGGCCAAGAACCCTATGGCGCTGAAGGAACCGCAGTATAATGGTCATCGGGTATGTCAGCAAGAAATTGTGCTAACTGCTAACACAGAAGATACTCTTGATCATGTGATAATATTGATAATCTGATCAATCTTTGGATCACATTCAGTAAATCGTTGTGTCTGCAAACTAGCTTTTTTCTTATTTGACGTTATAAATCTTTCATTCCTGGCAGAAGTTTAATTTAACGTTTTGATATTCAAGTTGAGAATTTTTATAAGGGGACAATCCATACTGTATACCAATGTGGTAATAGAGAGGTTGTTAATATTAGCGGGGGGGTTGGTATTAGGGATGGTATACTGTATGCGGAACTTTACTACAATAAAATCACGTGAGACAGATTGTCGAGATACGGCGGATAAATATAAATACTCGATTATCAAATTTAAGTCCCGTTTTTCTAACAAGATTGATTACAGTGGTGTTGAGAACACAGGAATAGAATTGGGAAAAAGGTAATATAGTGTGATAACCTTCGTTTTACGTTGTTTCAAAATGATGTTAGTTGGAGACTAAGGAAAGAAAACATGATATCAATTGTATAGTTTAGCTGTTAAGTGGTATGAGAAAATCCCAACTAGTGTGTATAAAATTTTATTCTTTGTATTAGTACGGGACCTTAATGAGACACACGAAATTAGTATTACAGAGTGAAAGCAGTTATAAAGGGCTAAAGGCTGTGCAACCAAGTATTAATATTAATGAATATTGTAATTTTTTTTGCTTGACAATTATGCTTGAATATGTGTTGAATAAATATTAATAATTTTATTAAACTTCATACATTACATTTAAAATTCGGCTATTCGCAAAATCTTTTCTGTATTTTGTGATGCTTTTATGCTCCTTATTATTATTATAGTGATGTAAACTTATAAAAATTGTTAAGTAAATTATTTTTTATGTCATAAAATTCTACTACTTAACCTATAATGAAATCTTGTAGAAAACATTAGCGCTAACATTGTTATAACTTAATGGTTATAGAACGTCTGATTTCCCTCGACGTTGATCACCAAATACCATTCCATTTTATCCTTTCCAAACATTTCCCATCCGATATACGAAACCCTTGCGATACCGTCACTACCAGATAATATAAAGTTTCATTGTCCTGAAATTAGAAGATACAGTCTTAGATTTGTGGACATTGATAATGATAAGAAATGTGTGATAATCAATGACCATCTGAAGAATGTGCAAGCGGAGGACACTAGCAGTGATTATCAGCATACACGTTATATTAATGCTTAGAGATTCAAAGATCTCCCCCACTAGAGTTAAAATCTCCGGCCGCACAGCTATAGCCATAACAATATAGTACGTAACTATATCTACGGTGCATTCTACTAATAGTTTTCTAACAACTCCTCTAAACCCGTTTGCCTTTCTATATAAATATCCTATAGACCTTATTAGATTAAGATCTGGTCTTGTGGTCTTTTCCATTCATCGTTTTCTATGTACTCCGAGATGACAAAATTTGTGCTACTTTAAAAAATATCCAGTGAACTTGATTGGCTGCAGGAGTGTTGAAGCGGATGAACGAGCCTTCGCCCCGCAATGGGTTGTCGATTAAACGGCAATGAAAAGCGCTGGCTAAAGAATTTGATAGAAGAGAAAAGTATCACACTCTACCCATACAGCAGGTTTGAAGTTCAGAATAGTTGTAGGACTATCAAGGAATCCAGCCACATGGTTGTACTTGAAGAAATCCTAGAATCTCACGATATTGCACGGGAGCACTTTTATAACAGTGAGGAATTTGCCAATGAGGTGGGTCATTGCTTTCGTTTACTGTCACTAAACAGAACAGCTATTAATTCATTGTTGGCAGCAGCCTGAATGTGTCGGAATATTAGTGATCAAAAACGTTAAACAGCTGTCATCAATTTGCAGGTGGCGATTCACCAAAAAGCAAATCATTCGAACATTATTCGATTTTTCGGTATAACTGAAGGTAATCTCGAGAGCTAGCCACTGGGCTGATACAGTACGCATGTATAAATATTAACTTCCTTGTTCAATATTAATATTAATCGACAGATCTAAACCGGAAATTCATAGTTCTCGAACATGTCGATGGTTCATTATTCAAATATTTAAAAGAACATTCAAACAAACTAAGCTGGAAGAGAAAAAATCAGCTTGCATTAGATATAACCAAAGGCCTCGAGTATCTTCATAGCATGAAAGTCTTACATAAAAATCTGGTAAACGTTTTATTAACTTCATTAGACTTGCTTATCACATATGATGCTAACTATTATACTATATGCTATTAGACTTCAAATAACATACATGTTCATGACGGCACAGCAAAGATTTCTGCTGTTGGCTTATCCAGATTAATTCCACAATCGACCAATAGTCCAAGATATACTGACGTAATGTACTGCGAACCAAACTTTAAGCATAATAAGGAATCAGACGTTTACAGCCTTGGTGTACTATTTTGGGAGATATCCGGCGGTAGACTATCATCCAACTTTGCCCTCCAATTGGAACCGGTAGCAGGCACACCTGACGACTATGTCAAGCTGTACAGAGAATGCTGTGACAGGGACCCAATTAAACGTCCTTCGTGCAAGGAAATACGTAATATATTAGAAATTTCCTTAATGTTAAAAGGTAACGACCCAATGAAGATTGGCAATGATGATGAATTGTTAGAACTACCTGAAGAACAACCGTACACGGAGCATTTACTTGAAATCATTAACAATCAAGCAACGGTGGGAGCATTAGAGATTCACTCATTCAACTGGGTCATGAACTGGCTGGCTAACAACAATTACATAGTAGAGAATGTTCTGAACGCTCTGATGAGCCATGGTGGAGCATGCGGAAAATGCTCTGCTTTGATCGGATTTTTTTATGAATTCGGGATTGGGACAAATGTAGATTTGAGCAAAGCATTTCAATTTTACAAACATTCTGCAAAAAAGGATATTCCACTGGCGGTGTATTGCCTCGGCCGATTCTATGAATACGGGTTTGAAGTTAAACCAAACTGTGAGAGGGCGTTTAAATTATATCAACGAGCAGCTGAACAAAACTACCCACCAGCTCTGTGGAATTTAGGCAAGTGTTACGAAAAAGCAATTGGAGTAGTACCAAAAAATATGACTGAAGCAGTTAAATGGTACAAAAAAGCAGCCAATCATGGACATGTCAATGCAAAATACTCTCTTGGGCAATGCTATGAAAAGGGCGATGGAATTGGGAAGAACATAGGAAAAGCAGCAGTTTTGTTTGAAGAGGCAGAAAGTGCTGGATTTGTAAATGCAAAACCGGATAAGCGTAAGCCAAAGATACGAGGGATTTTAGCATTGATAAAAAGATAAGGATTAAGGGAGCTTTGCAAAAGTGCATTAAGACTATGTAAATACTATTACTGTAGGACGTGCAAAAACGGATAAGCGTAAGCCAAAGATACGAGGGATTTTAGCATTGATAAAAAGATAAGGATTAAGGGATCTTTGCAAAAGTGCATTAAGACTATGTAAATACTATTACTGTAGGACGTGAAACAAAGAACTGATGCTGTTATGCTAGACGTAATAATAGACATCAATTTGTAATATAGCATTTAGACATCTTTTCCTGATGATTGGGATAAATCTTTCACATATAATAAATGTCTTTAATATTAAACGCGGGAAGAGTTATTTGTGTGTGACTGGAATATGATGAATTCAGTCCAAGTTTACTCCAAGTTAGCTGAGCTTGTCATCACTGTTTTCAACATACCACATAACCCATTTTGTAACAAGGCTATAGTGATAATTGTAACCGATTATACAGCAGCTACTAGAATCAGGATTGTAAGATTTATTCCCTGTTCACCAATATATCTAGCATAATCTTATAACCCAACAATTCTAGAGCAGAAGCTAATTCATAAATTGATTCTATTCATATCCTTGTCCGCAAATATTTCCAATGGAGAAGGTATTACTGTATATTTAACACATAAAATGCATAAACACTATTTCCTTCAAATGCGCGTAATCAAAAAGTTAACTAATACATCTTGTGTGTTCTGTTCTTATGCATGACAAAAAAAGTTGGCCACATAACTTTGTGACTTGCGTCATTTTACACTTTTCGTTTTGTTATTAAAACAATGACAACAAACGTAAGATCATGACCACTATGAGCAAAGTGGTACTCAAGATGCCTGCGCTTTACATAAATTAACTTTATTTCACCTTCTAAGTATATGATATTAAAGAAGCTTAAATAAAAGTCTTCAGGAAGAGATTGAGAAAAGCACTTACGTTAATTTGATTCAAATCATGCCATCAAGATTGAATAAAAAATATGGACGGACGGGAATGTTGTAAGATAAGCTATTTAGTAGCAATAAGTAAGGCAATTTGTTGTACTATGAAAGCACATCTGCAAATTTTTCATGTTTGATAATTTCTCGTTGCAATAGAAATGTCTTTTTTTTTCGCGCACTTAGCACTGTAATTCTTCTTGGCCTCGGATATAATATTGCAACATGTAATAGGCAGACTAGTTTGCACAATAAAAGATACTTGTGCTAGTTAATATAGTAATGTTGTATGTCAATTCCGAATATATGTCAATGCCGAACCGACATATGTCAGATCAGAATTTATATCAGTTCCGAACTGATATGTGTCAGATCAGAATTTATGTCACTTCCGAACTGACATATGTAAGATCAGAATTATAGCATGATTTATGAATCTAGCTGCCATTTTGCTTCAGCATTGTTTTATGCTTATGTCAAGTTATTAGATATTTGTATGCACACAAAAATTAAACTCTGCTGAAAAGGATACCAATATCTTCGCTGACGTTATGTTTCGCTGACCGACAGGTCATTTCATCGACAATAATTTCACCGACAGTTGATTTCGCCGACAGCCATTTCACTGACAGTCATTTCACCGACAATGATTTTGAACATATTTAGCCACTTGGAATTTCTTCTTGGAATTTCTTCTTGGAATTTTATGAGGTCATTTATTGAGCCTTTGACGTTTTGTTCATACATGGAAAATACACGTTATGATTAGACGTTTATTGTATCAAATTAAAATATGGTAATGTAAACATGAAAGATAGTGGCTGTGTATGTATTAAGTCAGTTGCATGAATTCATAATAACCCCATGTGGATTGAGATCTTGCATACAGCATGTACCAAATCTTTGTCATTAGCTTGGACTTAATTTGAGCCTTTGAATTTTATGAATCTCACACTTCCGTTCGA